ATTCTGAGGACGGACCACCTGTGTTTATATATCCACACATGGATGGAAATGTGGGTCCTACAACTTTCTTTTCAAGAATGCTTGGTGTATCATGGTTCTTGGCAATGGCGTATGAAGTTTAGAGTCAAGTTTTCCATTTCTGAAATAGGCCGTTGGGATTTCGATGGGTTTGCTGTGAATCTGTAGGCTGCTTTGGTGAGTATTAACTTTAACAAAGATGAAGTGTTTCAGGCCATGGGTTGTCTTTCTGCTTTCCTCAGTATGTTCTACTTTTCAGAGTATAAGTTGTGCTCTTTTCTTGGGATTTATTCCTAAGCATTTTATTATTTTCAAGGCTATTATAAATGGAATTGTTTTATTAATTTTATTCCTTTGGATTATTCATGGCAAACATATGGAAATTCAATTTTCTTTTACATTGAGCTTGTATCCTTAGAATTTTCTGTATATGAGATCATGACATCTGCCAATAAAGATGGTCTTATTTTCCTATCTGCACACCTTTGATTATATTTCCTTCCCTATCCTCCCTAGCATTTCCAGGACAATGTTGAATACAAGTGGAAAGCTTAGAAATCCTTGTCCCTGTCATGCTCCTGATCTCAGGGGAAAACATCGAACTTTTCACCATGAAGTAAGATGCTCACTCTTGTTTTTTTGTAGACGTCCTACAGACATTTTTCTTGGCTTTCCATATATGTAGGAAAACTAGTACAATGAATTTAATGATCTGTGTTCAAATTTTGACCCACATACGTCCATTCATCCTAAAAAATATACAGCCAAAGGACAGGTGCTATATAAGTAATCTTAAACTTGTGTTAATAGTAAAGTGTGAACCCCCAAATACCTTTAGTAGAATTTACTATTTACCAAAATGCAAATTCAATTTTAATGCTTCCTCCAAAATAAAAATGAAAGACACACACACACAAAAACATGAGATTGATCCCATGATATTCAAACACAAGTCTTAAGTATGACACAGCAATACTTAGGAAAGTATTGGTAATCTTAAAGATTTTATTTATTTATTTGACAGACAGAGATCACAAGTAGGCAGAGAGGCAGGCAGAGAGAGAGATGGGGAAGCAGGCTCCCTGCTGAGCAGAGAGCCTGATGCGGGGCTCGATCCCAGGACCCTGAGACCATGACCTGAGCCGAAGGTAGAGGCTTTAACCCACTGAGCCACTCAGACACCCCAGTATTGGTAATCTTAGAAATGATGGAAAATATATTAAGAGGAATGTATTTTTTAAAAAAAAATTTATTTATTTGACACAGAGAGAGAAATGGTGAGAGAGGGAACACCAGCAGGGGCAGAGGGAGAGAGAGAAGCAGGCTTCCCACTGAGCAGGGAGCCTGACACGGGGCTCGATTCCAGGACCCCGGCATCATGACCTGAGCTGAAGGCAGACACTTGATGACTGAGCCATCTAGGTGCCCCGAGATAAATGTATTTTTTTTAAGATTTTATTTATTTATTTGAGAGCGAGACAGTGAGAGAGAGCATGAGCGAGGAGAAGGTCAGAGGGAGAAGCGGACTCCCCATGGAGCTGAGAGCCCGATGTGGGACTCGATCCTGGGATCCCGGGATCATGACCTGAGCTGAAGGCAGTTGTCCAACCAACTGAGCCACCCAGGCATCCCGAGAAATGTATTTTTAAATCATGCTGAGCCTTGAGGAACTTGTCCTCTTCAGTTCACAAACAACTATGTTCTCTTTTCAGTTTATATAGAACTTTTATAATCATTATGGCATTGTCAATCCCTCAATTTTGGGACTGGTAAAAACATATTCTTTTGAGGAACGAGGGAGCTGTGTTTCAGAGACATCTATTAGCTTATGTAGATGCACATAGAGGGTTAGCGGTGATGCTTGTACTAAATGTTACGTTTCCTCATCCATGTTCCAGAGTTCCTATCTCTACTTGACACGAAGTTTGCAGAATTGATTCTCAGAAGGAGAGCGATCCTACACTGTTGGTGGGAACGCAAGCTGGAAAACAACATGGAGGTTCCTCAAAAAGTTGTAACTAGAGCTACCCTACGACCAGCAATCATACTACTGGGTATTTACCCTAAAGATACAAACGTAGGGATCTGAAGGGGCATGTGCACCCCAATGTGTACAGCAGCAATGTCCACAATAGCCAAACTATGGAAAGAACCTAGATGTCCATCAACAGATGAATGGATAAAGAAGATGTGGTCCATATATACAATGGAATACTATGCAGCCATCAAAAGAAATGAAATCTTGCCTTTTGCAACAACATGGATGGAACTAGAGGGTAGTATGCTGAGCAAAATAAGTCAATCAGAGAAAGACAATTATCATATGATCTCCCTGATATGAGGAATTTGAGAGGCAGAGTGGGGGGTTTGGGAAGTAGGGAAGGAAAAAATAAAACAAGATGAGATTGGGAGGGAGACAAACCATAAGAGACTCTTAATCTCGCAAAACAAACTGAGGGTTGCTGGGCGGTGGGGGGGGTAGGGAGAGGGTAGCTGGGTGATGGACACTGGGAAGGTATGTGCTATGGTGAGTCCTGTGAAATGTGTAAGCTTGATGATTCACAGACCTGTACCCCTGGGGATAATAATACATTATATGTTAATAAAAAAAAAAGAATTTGTTCTCAGTGTAACACCACCTGTAGTTTCCATCAGAGGGTAAGAACAGGAAGAATTGATTTCCTTAAAAAAAAAAAAATTAAAGTTCGGGAACTGAAAAGAACATCCAAATGTCCCATGACATTGGGATGGAAAATAAAAGCTATATTTAAAAGTATGATTATGGGCTGTTGGCACTAATTAATGTTAATTTATTTTTGCTGTTCAGGTGCTGCACTGAGGTGAATTAAATGATGTGTGATGCTAATTCAAAAGTTTTCTAAATACACATTTTCGGTAAAAACGCTCCAATTTCCAGGATAGGATTCTATTTTCTCAACAGTTTGAGATCAATATTCTGTTCATTAAAGCAATATACAAATATTTAAAGACATAACCCTCATCTCCAATCTGGGTTAGCTGGATTTCTGTAGATTGCCCTGTGCACTCATCTGCAAGGTATATAGATTATAGGAAAGAATTCTAATGTATTGAAAAGACAGACAAGAGTTTTTGAGAATTATCCTTGTCCAGATGGGATTTCATGAGTTACAGTGAGTTACAGAGTTTCAGAGCAAAAACAATCCACCCAGTCAATAAAAAGGGGCTTAAAAATGAATTGTTATTCCTTCACAATGGAGGGATTTTCAGACTTTGGTCGAGGAGGCATTTTTCAAAGCCACACTGCGTGTAGCATGAAGAGGACATGTGTTTATTAATGGAAATGTGAAACATGGTCTTGCAAACACCTGGACGGTCCTTTAAATAGGAATTTCAATACCATATGCCCAAATCCACCTGCTTATGCCTCTGGAATTGTAACAATGGAACATCTTCCTGTTACTAAGCCATATTCCCAGGGAGAATTCTTCCTTTGAGCACAATTGCAATGGCCACAGAATGCCGGCCGCCCTCTGGGAAACATGTACTATCCATTTTAAACAGCACTGGTGACAGCCAATGGGATCACATTTCCCCTGAAATTGAACACACAGGGTGCAGTGGAAACACGCATTATCCCATGCACGCCAATCACATGATGCCTGTCTGACTTGCTCATAACAATGTGTGGTTTTATTTAAAAAGTCCCATCATGATGGGTGATTCATCACACCTGGAAACCTTGCACATTGGCCATCTGCGTCTGGAACAAGAAATGGCAAAGTTGGCCAATGTTCTAGGCTATTCTTGTGTGGGTCTTGTCCATGGTTTATTCCTTCCTAGAAATTAAGACATTCTAGGGTTATGGTAAGGAAAGCTTACAGGATGTTTGGGGCAGAATTCCCCAGCAAAATAGACCCAAGAGTGTGTGTGTGTGTGTGTGTCTGAATTTCAGTGTGGCTATTTTAAAGATGGTGTTCCAAGATGGGCAATGACATGGGTTGGAAGCATAATATATAAATTAAAAAAAGAAGTTAAAAGGATTGGATAGATATAAATGTAGCTATATATAGATACAAGTGTACAAATATAGAAATAAAAGGATAGATACCTAATAGGAAATGGTGCAATAATGATGTGTGATTTATATTTCCTTCTTTGCATGTTTCTTTATGCATCGAATATATTAGTAAACAACAAAAAAAAGTATCCAGTAGAGAATTGCAACAAGTACCAACGGCATCAGGCAATCAAGCTCAACACCCACTGTGTTGAGTTGTCATGTTAAGAGAATACACCATTGCTAGGATGGGACAAAAATGAACTTTTGCCTCTTTTTTCTAAAAACCAAGACCCTGGTCTAAACTAGAGAAAAGCATTCTACAAAATGCCCAAGAAGTCCCTCTGGACCATCCAGTTCATCAAAAACAAGAAAAGTCTGGGAAAACCATCACAGCCAAGAGGGACCCAAGAAAATATGAGGATTGAATGTACTGTGGGACCCCACAAGGGATCTTGAAACAGAAAAGGGATGTTAGGAAATATGAAATATAGAATATGGGAATATGAACAAAGGATGCCTTTGAGTTAATAATGTAGCATACATTTTTTGTGTAGAGAGGGACTTCATGAAGGAGAGAATTTACCAAGATGAGTCTGTTTTCTAGAAATAAAGAGCACCTTCCTCTTCCAATCTCTTTCAAAATCTCTTCATCCACATCTGCCCGTTTCTCATTCAGAAAGATGCATAAGGGGTTGTGTCATTTGCAGGTGAGTGGGGATCTGGCTGGACAGGACTGAAACTTATATGCATCTCTCATCTGTCAACGGAGTTTAAGTCCCAGCTCTTGATGACATCACAGTGTTGGGGATCAGCATGTTTGTGACATCAGGGGTTTCCAGGAGATGGGGCATGATGCTCACAATTATGATGGGCACCTTGACTCATCATCAGTGTTGACCATGAACACTTACAGAGTTTCCAAAGCAATTTGCTGAAAAGCTTTCCCCCAAAATGGTGCCAATTTCTTACCCTAATCACCAAGAGGTAAGGGTATTGTTTTTCCCTTAAATTGAATTTTTAAAAACTGCCTGTCAGGATGTTTTGATCATTTCTCTTTTGGCTGGAAGGTGTGAGAGCCACTTTTTTTTTTTCTTCCCTCTGACAGGGTTTTTTCTGGTTTACCTAATACAGTGGGGCCAGGGTGTAGCAGGAATCGATGAAGGTGTGGGAATTGGAAGTGAGAGGCGATCAGTTATAGGGAAATGGTTAGAATATTGGGTATGTTTCAGGGCAATGAACCTCAGTCCTCTGACTGCACTTTCATGATATGTGCAGACCAGTCACTATGGGGTTGTGATTTGCCTCCTTGTAGTCTGGGGACTGGAAGCCTCAAAGTCATTCTGGTTTTGATATTTTATGGCTACAACAAGGAAGAAATTCACAAAAACTCCAGAGATTAGCCCTGATGCAGAGGGAGTTAAATCATTACTGAGACAAAAAGGCTATGCAATGGCATGGTCATGAGATTTGCATTATCTACTCATTATCTGTACCTTGAGGGATCATTATGTGAGTGATGAGTGGATCTGAAATTCTGTCAATAGAGGAAGAAAACCATGAAACTTGGTGGCCTGAGTTACGCAATCCCGTGCTTTGCTCATTCACCAAAAACAGATTGCGAATCTTCTGTGTGTTAGGAGTCATGATGACGTTGACAGAGCGTGAGGGAAGGGAACGGAAAAGACCAGAAAGGGAGCAAAAATGAACGTGTGGAAGGTTAGGCAGGAGAATCCGTGGTCTATTCAAAGAGTCAAATTTGCTGCCTACAGTCTCGGCAGGAGGAATTATGTGGAGGTTGTAGGGCTCCAAGGTCAACCAGTATGACAGGTCAGATCAGAAAGGATAGAGGATAGCATCCTAAAGGGTTGTTTTGCAGGTCATGGAGAACTGAAGTGTAGAAGCCATGATGATTAGAAAGTTGTTAAGGTTGCTGGCAGAAATGTGGAGAAGGAGGAGGTAAGGCTGAAGGGAAGTTGAATACTACAATTGCGTCCACAGATCAAAAGTCAACAATGTGAGAAGTTTATCTTCAGCTTATCCTGGTGGGCCTGTTGTGCTCAAGGGAAGGAGCATAGCTTGAAACTGATGCATTACTAAAAATAAACGCAGATGGGCAACTTAGCATTCGTTAAAGGACATTAAAGACAGACCAGAACAAATGGAAACAAAGTAATATAAATAATAGTGAAAATGAATGGATTAGAGAAAAGTGTATTTTTGTAAAATCATGCTAAATAGGATTTTCTATGGAAAAAGGAAAATATAACATCAAGTGTAGAACTCTTAAAGGCATTTAAAAACCTTACAAGAGTGAAAAATTATAAACAATATAAAGAAAGAAATGAAAACTCATGAAAGATATGTATTTATGTCTAGAATACAAAGAAAACACTGCCCGTTGTTCTTCAAATCCAGATAATTTATGTATATAAAACATGCCATATATAAGATGTATCTATAACTTGATACGTATATTATATATTATAATATATATAATTTGAAAATGAGGACAAACCAGAGTATTATTTTTACAAAAACATTTATGGTCAAAACCGGCTCAAGAAGAGGGGAAATTCTTGGAGCAATGGCTCCAAAAGACATTGAGAAAATTGCCAAAGGGCTATGCCATAAATGTAATGAGCTATTTTAAGTTCTGATGAAATACAGGATTCCTGTGTATTTACTATTTTCCAAGAACAGAGAAAGAAATTAGGACAACAACAGAACAGTATGTCATTACCAAATAAGGATCCTTTCACGAGTACAAGGCAGGTAACACGGTGACGTCCCAAGATAGAATTCACGGTATTAGCAGATACAGCAGAAAGAGTAGGCGGGTTTCTTCAAATATTAGATAACATTAATGAATCTGATAAGATGCAATATCCTCACGTAATAGAAATAGTTACTAAAATAGCAAGAGAAAGACATTTCCTAGCATGATTATATATATATATATATATATATATATATATATATAGTGACTTCAAAACTATAGTCACCCTGAAGGTGAACACTAGATATTTTCCATTAACCTCAATCAAGGAGATGACAAGAATTTTCACTCCAGCTTCATTTACAATTTTTCATCAGAAAGATAATGGGACACATTTGATAGCAGGAGGCAAAATTCTTGTTATCTGAAGATGGTCTGATAGCTGACCACAAGAGTCAACTTGAAACAAATAATATCTGAAATTAGATAAGTTCATTGTGAAGCCCAGAGATAAAACAGTAGCTGTTTAAAAAAAAAAATGTTATTGTTGACCACATTAAAAGAGAAAGTCAGGGACACCTGGATGGCTCAGTCAGTGAAGCGTCTGCCTTCGGCTCAGGTCATGATTCTAGAGTCCTGGGTTGGAGTCCCATGTCAGGTTCCCTGCTCAGAGGGGAGCCTGCTTCTCCCTGTCCCTCTGTTGCTCCCCCTCCTTGTGCTCTCTGTGTCAAATAAATAAATAAAGTCTTTTAAAAATTAAAAAAAAAAACAGAAAGTCAGTATGGTTTTTAGGTTCAAGGCATAACCACTCAGGAAACATAATGTTACAGTGTCGTTTGCACAACAGCTACACACATCAAAATAGAGAGGAACAATAGTAATAAGAAAGTCCCTCGACCTATATGAGGAAAGATGGATTTCTTAAGCTCAGTGGAAGGATGTGAAGACAAAATAGATGTGATTTAATACAAAGCACTGACTCTATAGGGAGACAAAGCTCATGCTGGTCTAGAAACACTTAAATCATAATGATAAATTCCACCGCAACCCAGTTAATGCAAATTCATTCAAGATATCCAAGTTTTAACTTGAAGAAATACTTTAAAGTCCTTTTGGACAAATAAAGTTTGTAGATTTTTCAAGTAAGTTTTGAAATGTACAGGAGGTAGGTTTTTTTTTTTTTTTTTACAGATATGAAGATATTTTATAAAGTTAAAATAATGTGTTGAAAATGCCTCAGTCCGGAAGGAGGGCATACACTTGCACACACAGAGAACAGGATAATCTGAACCCATTCTGGTTTTGTTTTGTTTTTTTTTTTAAGATTTTATTTATTTATTTGAGACACAGCAAGAACACAGCAGGGGGAGGATCAGGCAGAGGGAGAGGGAGAAGCAGTTTCCTCACTGAGCAGGGAGCCCAATGAGGAACTTGATCCCAGGACCCTGACAACATGACCTGAGCCAAAGGCAGACCCTTCACTGACTGAGCCATCTGGGCGTCCCCTGAACTGATTCAAATAGTGATACAATTCTGAACTGACAAGAAGGAAACTCAAAATATCTCAAGTGAAGAAAACTGTCAAAAGCACATTTCTATAGCAATGCCCACCATAGTGATTAAGGACACATCTGTACCCAAGAGTGTGTTTACCCAGTGTTAACTGGAAGGTCATATGGAACATGTTAACAACGGTTATAGCTCAGTAATGTCAAATAAGCTAAATTTTAATTGCTCACTATTTGTGGATCTGTATTACATTTCCTCTAATAATTGTGGTGCAACTTAAAAAAAAAGATTTAAAATAGGGGTGAAGAGAATGTTATGGTATTGTTTCTCAGCAGCATTCAAACCAGAAAAAGTCCAAGAAAGTGAAAAGTGAGAAGCAGCCTCTAATTTTTTTTTTCAAAAGATTTTATTTATTTACTTGAGAGATAGAGACCAAGCAGGGAGGAGCCCCAGAGGGAGTGGGAGAAGCAGGCTCCCTGCTGGGCAGGGAGTCTGACGTGCGGCTCGATTCCAGGATCCTCGGATCAAGGCCGATGCTTAACAGACGGAGCCACCCAGGCATGTGGAAGTGGCCTCTAACTTCACCGCTTTGTTGTTTAATGTTTTTAATGGAGCACCATTTATGAGGTGGAAAGGCAGGCAAAAAAATGAACTGGTGAGATAATGCAGCACAAAGAAATCTCCAGATTATTTTCCAAAGCCCGCCATAGCCTAGTAGGATCTGCTGGGAAAGGTACGTGCTTGAGTACATGGGATTCTTCGATCCTGCCACCATCTTGATTTTAGCCCAGGGAGACCCACAGCAGAATCTTGACCTCCAGAAATGTAAGACAATATAATTTGTGTTGTTTCAATCAAAGTCATTTCATGGTGATTGGATATGGGAGCAAAAGGATACTGGTAGAGTTTCCTTTCCCTGATGAACTCTTTTTGTCCCCATTTGGGGAATGTCCCATTTCTGTAAACAACTAAAACTTGAGCAAATCAGTCTTGATAAGGATTGGCCATTTCCACATCTAGATAAATGACATTGGGCTTGTCCTGACCAGTGATGCTACAGTGGGCAATTTCTTGGATTTAAGCCCAGATTAGGATTCTCTGGGGTATAGACATTGATTGTCCTTGATGGGGTCTTGAGTCACACCAGATCTCTTTATTAAACATGAGATATTTTAATACCAAAAATGGTAGAAGAGGCAACACTGATCCACTTAAACATGTAACCAAACCTTAAGTATTTTTTTGAAAAGATTTTATTTATTTATTTGACAGAGGGAGAGAGACAGAGAGAGAGGAAGCACAAGCAGGGGGAGTGAGAGAGGGAGATGCAGGCTTCCCACTGAGCAGGGAGCCTGATGTGGTGTCCAATCCCAGGACCCTGGGATCATGACCTGAGCCGAAGGCAGATGCCTAATGACTGAGCCACCCAGGAGCCCCAAGAACTTTTTTCTTAACTGGTGACAAACCTCCCAAACCTTTTCTTTGTACTAAAGTCATTTTTCCCCTTTTTTTCCTGCACTGCATGTAAGTATATATTGATAAGTTGTATTGTACAAAAGCAAGAGAAGGAAAATGGAGGCCTTCCAACTGGAGATTAATTCCTTCACATACACACAAAAAAGGATAGGAAATAGGAAGGAAGGAGTTGGAAAGATTATGATCTAAAAGAATAGTTCTCAAACTATGGTTGAGAAGGGCCCCATGGCCTGGGAAACTTGTTAAAAACTGGAAACTTGTTAAAAAAAGGTCACATCCCAGACCTACTGAGTAGAACCAATAGCAGAAGGGACCTTGGCCATTACGTAGTACAGTATTATTGTCTGAAAGACGCAGCTCAAGATATGGTCCCCGGTTTGGGTGTTGTCATCCCAGGAAAGTGAAAACTAGTACCACATAGACAATTCTCAAATCTTACACTCACCCACGTCCTCCAAATGGATGCCATCCTGGAGTTTCTTTTTTCTTTGTCCTTAAAAAAGAAAAATATATATATATCCATATTTATACATCACACATGGCTTGCTTTTTTCCGGCTGTTCATGAAAAAAATCAAGGAGAATTAATTAATTAATAACATCCTCAGTTCAACGATCATTTCACAGATTTGAAGACTGATCCCACTTTTTTTTTTAAGAAATATCATTTTTATTTGTCTCAGTTCTACCAGCTGTTTACAAAGTGTGAGAGAGAACACAGAGCTCCCATAAGCATTATTATATTTTCAAAGAAAAAAAAAAACAGTGAACATCCATCTATAGAAACAATTTGGGGAATTCCTGAGGGTTTTGTTTTTAAATTTAAATCAACAGATGAGAGACGCTGCTTGGACTTGAGACCTTTTTAATTCTTCATCTGTTATCTTGTTTAGAAATGTCAGCATTGTTTCTGAATTTGTTTTGTCTCTTGTCTTCTGTAAACACGTTACTTTCCTTCCCCTTTGCTTTCCCACGGCCAATCTGCTGGTTTCCTTTAATGGTTCAGCTGTTAATTTGTTTCGTGTCAAAATAAGCTTATCACATAATTCAGGACCCTGTGTGGTACGGGTTTTGAATTAACAAGATTATTGCTAAATTTCCGTTTCACTTTGGGGTGTCAGGATAGAACTAAAGGGTGTTTCGAAATCAGACGTGTTTTCTGACCATTCCTTTTAAGACCTCGTCTTGAATATTCTGCATGTGTTAGGTAGGATAAATTGTCTCCTTAATTGGAGAATACAGGTACCCATTTCACCATCAATTACAAAGGAAGCCTTGCAATGCACACCTAAGTCAGTATTTGGAACAAGTAACAAATATCCAGGCCATTTGTCACGAATCCCTTATTACAAAGTCAGTGAGAAAAATTAAAAAACATTCATAAAGGTGGTGGCACCTCCCATTAGCAGATACATATGTCTTGAAGATACAAAAGTGTCTACCATTGAGCCACCATGGCCCTAACTTAAAAAAAAAAAAAAAAAAGAAAGAAAGAAAGAAAAAGAAATGCATCTGAGGCATTTATGACTCTTTCATTCTTTGAGGACTTTAATCCATGCTCTTTAAAGACCTTGTTATGGGAAGTATCACCCTTGGACCAGTAATATTCTCATTGCCTGGGAGCTTGTAGGAGATGCCGAATTTCAGGACCGAACCCATGCTTAGGAGAGAATCTTCATTGGATCAAGTTCCCGGGGTGACTCACACAGATCTGTTACAATTAGAGAACCACCTCCCCAGGGATGTTATTCCCTGAAACACTGACAATTTGGGGATCCCATTTCCACACATGCTACTAGCGATGGTGTTCGTGAGGCAAGTGTCATGCATATTAAACCCTTTGTCTGTATTTGGTGTAAAGATGCATGGCTAGCGTCAGGGCTACAACACCAAAGCAAGGCATTTGCCTTTCTGAATCCCTGCCATGTGGCTCTCCGTGTTGGAAATGTGGATTCCAGTAAGAGGAATGGGGTGCTTTCTACCCTTGGCTTCTTCCTGATCAAAAGACTGGTGGACCCCTATTTATTTTTAATTTCTTTTAGGGAATTCAGAAAGAGAGACGTCTTTAAAGTGATTTGTTCTCACTAATGTCTATCTCTTAAAAAATCCATAATTCATTAGTGCATTAGTTTTATGAATGTCTACTTTTTAAAAGAGTAGGAAGAAAAATCCTATTCTTCATTGTTTCATAGCTAAAGAATATGACTTAGGACGTTAAGGGAAAAAAAGAAAAGGTTTCTCCTTATGTTAATTATTCACCTAAAGCATCCCAGCATCCCAGCATCCCAGTGGATATCTCACTGGTGGTCATTTCTCTGCACAAATTGTGGAAGAAAAATACGTACTCCAGTAAACACCTCTATTTGATATCTTTGATTCACAAAAGGCTCAAGTTGTAATGCATTGTAAGGAAGGTGTTTATTCTCATTGTTGTAGCTTCCCACATAGGTATGTGTTGGCTGTGCACCTATCTTTTCCCGAATTCCTGCAAAACAACCTGGGTGCTGTCATGAAAAGACAGTCCCTTAGAGGATGTGTTTGTATTTGTGGCAGGGATTTGACTTCCCACAGTTGTGGAGGGATCAGAGCACACTTCCTCAGGTTGTCCTCCTTGTGCCGGGTGCTGAGGCTGGAAATCCACAAGTGACAAGAGATGTGAAGGGGAAGAGATCTGGGTGGGCTGGAGCTCACAAGCATGAGTGAAGATGGATGGAAACCTGTGGTCATTGTTGGTGCCCTCTTACCTTGTGGCAACAGCATCTTGTTGAGTCTTCATGGTGGAGGTCTTCATGCTGGAGGTCTTCATACTGGAGGTCTTCATGGTGGAGGTCTTCATGGTGGAAGTCTTCATGGTGGAGGCTTCATGGTGGAGGTCTTCATGGTGGAAGTCTTCATGGTGGAGGTCTTCATGGCAGAGGTCTTCATGGTGGAGGTCTTCATGGTGGAGGTACACACATACGCCAAGCCTGTACCCTAGAGAGATGGAAGGAGGAGCCAGGGAAGGTGAGGCACAGATAAATTCTTCACACCAACAAGGTGAGTCCTTAAATCAGGCTACATGGGTGATTTGCAAAATGGCGACTGCTTTCCTCAGAACATCCTAATCCTTCAAGAGTCTCCTTTCTGGAGATTCATACAGGATAAAGGGAACACATAGGAAAGATATTTCTGGAATATGTATTTCAGCAAAGCTATGGTGGGACACTTCCAAAGGCACACCTGCCTTTCCACCCCCTCCTCGACTTAGTTCATGTGCATTTAATGACCAGGATCTTGAGATTGGTGAATTAGAACTTAATTCAACCCAGACTTCCTGGTTCCAAGTCAAGTGACCTTGCACAAAGCAAACAACAAGAAATGTCCAAATATGTGTCCAACTGCAGGACGATGCTTTCCTAACTCGTGCGTCCAGTTCTGATCTACTGATAGAAGGCACTAAAATGAACGTCTCCCCCAAATCCATAACCATTCTGAATTAACACGATGTTATATTATAACCACTGAACCAGAATTATAAAGTTAAGGAGGTGGTAGGGTAAACCTTCATATGCAAAGGGGTTCAAGAAAAAAAGTGACTGGGAAATCAAAACGCGACCCCTCTCTCTCCCCGCATCACAGTTGGGAACGCTGGTCACTTTGTCGAACCTTCCGGGGAAAAACATGAGCTGTAAATTCAATTTCAAAGACAGAATCCTAAGAAGCTCTCCTGAATCCACTCAACCTTGAGTTTCTGGGCGCTATCCTAGTTCTTCCATCACATCATTTAACCGTCCCCTTTTAAGCACATGTTTATCCATTTCCTCTAAAAAACAAAAGAAAAAAAAAAGCCTTTTCTTTTGTTAGTAGCTGGAGGGCTAATAATTACTCTATGTATTTAGTAGCGAGTATCATTAGAATTCTGAATTAAAAATAAGATTAATGATTTAATTTCAATCTTGTCAGGATGACCCATTTTAAAAAAATACTGATGTGATATAGTGCTATAAAAGATTTAAGCATAATTTATTGATAAGACCATTACAACTGGAATGAGAGAGCTATTTGTCTGCATAATGGTTCCTGAAATCACAGATAGTACTTTCCCATTATTTCAATGCAACATTTATAATTCCTTTCTGGAGTTACCATTTGCTTTTTCTTTTAACAACCACATAGGGTGTTTCCGTGCCAAACACTGTTCCAAGTGTCTTACAAATACTAGCTCATTTAGTCCTTACCACAATCCCATAAGATAGCGCTATTGTTATCCTTACATTATGCATAAGGTAATGGAGGCATGGAAGGTTTTGGTAACTTTCCCCATGGAACACAGGTGAATTTTGCAGCCGTGATACAAACTGGCAGGTTCTGGCTCTTAAAACCTAGACTTCTCAACACTGATCTGCATTGCTTCTCCATTACAGAAAAGCCAGTATGAGCTTGCTTCACTTGGGCTGAAGACGATACCAGATGCATCTTTCAATTTGGGAATGCAGCCAGGTAACAAAATTATTAGTGTAAAAAAAGGCTTTCAACGTTGCCCACAGCCAAACCAAATATTACCGATTTTTTTCGCAACAAGAAGTTACACCCCTTTGGATGTAGAAAGTTGACTTAAGACATCGACCTTCTGATTAAGAAGGAGTAAGTAACGGGAAATCATCTTTGTGGCAGAAGAAAACAAAACAATACATAAAATAAGGATTTTCAAGATATTGGGTATCAGTCAGAGGATGACAGTTAATCCAGAAAGGTGGGTAGCAAATGATATGAGTACTCTCATTGAACAGCTGTTGCTCAGAGAGTGATTCTGGGTAGTGGTGCAAGAAAGGGAACCCAAGCAGGACCAGGAAGGCTCCTGGTTTGAGGTGATGGATCTCAGAGCGCAGAGAACAGGTGGTTAGAATTTCCAGACAGATGCATAGAGAACCAAAAAGAACAGCAGAGTGCCTTCCTTGAGTAATTAGCAAATTACTAATCAACGCATTTAGGTAAGCAATATAGTGCATACATATTGTCTAGGCATTGATGGGATATGATCATTCAAAGACTTAGAACAGTGTTCAGTGTTCACAGAGGACTGTACACAGTGTCTGAGACCACCCTCCAGAAGGAAAAACAGATCTCGTAGTATTTAAGACATTGCATAATGTATTGAGGACGTTTCCACCACAGTAACGGGGAAATCACTCTCCACAGCCTGAGCACAGGTCTTGCTACCAAACGTAATAAACAAGACTAGAAGAGATAAATCTCCTTCGAAATAACTAAATCCCAAAAGAAAGCCTATGCATTTTTAAAAAGATTTTATTTATTTATTTGAGAGAGAGACAGAGTGAGAGAGCATAAGTGGGAAGGAGCGGCAGAGGGAGAGGGAGAAGCAGACTTCTCACTGAGCAGGGAGCCTGATGCGGGACTCGATCCCAGGACCTTGAGATCATGACCCAAGCCAAAGGTAGATGCCCAACCAAATGAGCCACCCAGGCACCCTAAGGAAGCCAATAATTTTTTATAGGAAAAAAATACCCAACCCCAAAGTGGTAAAATTCACAACATTCTACATTGAAATTTCAGAGTATTTGAAGCATGGCAACAGAAACAATCCAAAAATTAAATATATAGGGGAAAAATAATTTAAAAATGAAAATGAGTGAATGGTGATACATCATCAAGCATCCTAATATGTGGGTGATTAATACATCATCCTAATATTATGTGGGTGAATAGAATACTTCAAGGGAGAAAAAAAGAGGCCACAAAAAAATCTGAATAAATATTGTCCAGAAATTCCCATAACTTAGAAAGAACCTATAAATCCAACCTCTAAATCTATATAATCTTATATCTATAAACCTATAGATCCAAGAATCTCAACAAACTCTGAGTGCAAGAATTAAAAAAAAAATTACCAAGGTACATCATAATCCAATGGCTCAAAACCAGTGATAAAGATAAAATCTTAACAAGCATCTAGCTGAAAAAAATGTTTTGCATCAATGGGCAAAGATTAGAATAACTTTGGATTTCTTGTCAATAATAATTTTAGAAAGATGATGAAGAAATACATTGAAGGTACTAAAAAAAAGTCACCTAGATTTCTATATCCAACAAAAATACCATTAAAGCAAATATAGGTAAAGAAAAGACATTTTCAGACATTCAGACTTATGAAACCCCAAAGAATTCATGACCAGTGCACCTGCATCATCATACATGTCCAGGGACGTCTGGGTGGCTCAGTCAGTTAAGCGTCCAACTCTTTCTCAGCTCAGGACTGATCTCAGGGTCATGAGTTCAAGCCCTGTGTTGGGTTCCATGTGGAGACTACATTAAAAAAAAAAAAAAGTCCAAAGAATACCTTCAACCAGAAGGAAAATAGTATTGGATGGATTTCTGGGTTAATGCCAAGTGAAAAGCAGAAACTCCTTCATAAACTTACAAGATCTTTTTTAATTTAAATATCTTTAAAATACAATTGATGGTATAAAGAAAAATGACAGGAATGTTTAGTGGAATTTATTTTACACATATATATTTATATAAAACAAAAGTGCATGGCAACAGTATATGCTGGTGTGTGCAGGGGTATTTTGCCACATAAAACTTGAGGAAAAGCACAAAACCCCCAAAACTATGGATGACTATAATAGTCAAACATTCTAAATGCATGTTAGCCACATGTATCAAAACTTCATAAAAAGGGTAAAACATCATGGCCAAGGAGGACCATTCCAAATATATAAGGTTCTTTTAACTTCCAAACTCAATGTCCTGTTAATTGATTAAAAAAGAAAAACACCAACTTGCATTCCCACCAACAGTGTGGAGATTCCTCAAGAAATTAAAAATAGAGCTTCCCTATGACCCTGCCATTGCACTACTGGGTATTTACCCCAAAGATACAGATGTAGTGAAAAGAAGGGCCATCTGTACCCCAATGTTTATAGCAGCAATGGCCATGGTCGCCAAACTGTGGAAAGAACCAAGATGCCCTTCAACGGATGAATGGATAAGGAAGATGTGGTCCATATACACTATGGAGTATGATGCCTCCATCAGAAAGGATGAATCCCCAACTTTTGTAGCAACATGGACGGGACTGGAAGAGATTATGCTGAGTGAAATAAGTCAAGCAGAGAGAGTCCATTATCATATGGTTTCACTTATTTGTGGAGCATAACAAATAACATGGAGGACATGGGGAGTTAGGAGAAGGCATTTGAGGGAAATTGGAAGGGGAGGTGAACCATGAGAGACTATGGACTCTGAAAAACAATCTGAAGGGTTTGAAGAGGTGGGGGTTGGGAGGTTGGGAGAGCCAGGTGGTGGGTATTAGAGAGGGCACGGATTGCATGGAGCACTGGGTGTGGTACAAAAACAATGAATACTGTTATGCTGAAAATAAATTAAAAAAAATCATTAAATAAAAAAAAGAAAAACACCTTGATTATCTCAATATTTGCAGAAAACAGTTTGTTGACATTCAATGTGTGCCTAGTTTTAAAAGATATGCTCAAAAATAAGAAATTGTCCATCTGATAAAAGGCATCTACATAAATCCTACAAGTAATAGTCTTCTTAATAATGCATCCGTCCACCTAAAATCAGAACTAAATGAACATGTCTGCTTGCTCAACTTCTTTTCACCATTGTGCTGGAGATCCCCGCCAGTTCAATGCGGGGGGCGGGGTGGGGAACAAAACTCCAGATTGTGGAAGGAGGACTAAAACTGTATTTGAATATGGCATGATCATCTGTGTAGAAAACCCAGTGGAATATACAAAATAACTACCAGAAACAATTAAGAGTCTTTGGCAGAGTTACAAGATAAAAGATCACTCTAAAAAAATAAATTCTATTTCTCTGTATCAGCAGTGGACACTTGAAAACTGAAAATGAGAAAACAACAAGGAAAACCGGAACATTAAATATTTGAACTACTTTGAGATGACTCTGGCGTAGGATAGCAAGACCCGTACACTGAAAATGACAAACCAGTGCTCGGGGTATCTGAAGATGGAGATAAATGGAGAACTATCCTTGAATCATGCGTTGGAGAATGACGTAGATTTCAACATGTCACTTCTACCCAAATCCATCTCCAGATTTGACACGATCCCAGTCAAAATCTCAAGCAGGTTTTGTGTTAACATAGATAAACTTAATCTAAAATTCATTTGTAGAATAGCCAAATTGGGCAGGGGAGGTAGTTTGAAACAGAAACCCAAATGTGGGGTCTCATACTAACTATCATGTAGCAGTTTCTAGCTCATGACAAACCTAATTGGCCATTTTGCATGTCGGTCAGCCCACTTCTTACTTCATAGGTCAGAAAACCAGGCGTTAATTGGGAATAATCAGAGGCTGATTCAAAACCAGAACCCTATTGTTCAATTCCAACCCAGAAATTTCTGTATGGCCAGCCAGAGAAAAGGATAAATGAGTTGAAAAAGATACAGAATGGGTACAGAATATGGTACAACTAAAAATAGAAACTTAAATTGTCTATCATCAGACTCATACCACAGGAACCTTGTATTTGATGTATCTTGAGATCTATTGATGTAACGATATTTATGATCTAACTACATCGTTAGCCAGAGTTTAAGTAGGAATTTTATTCATATTTTATCTGAGAAGATACATCATTGAAAATGTGGTCTCTTTTATATTCTTTTTTTTTCTTTTATATTCTTATTGACTTAGGCTACCATCTAAATGATTTTCCAATTTTATGAAACATGAGCTTAAGAAGATTAACTTGTTTTTATAAATGTATTTTTCCTGATTAGACTACATGTCATAACTACATTTTAAAATGATGTGTCTAGATCAAATGCACTTAGTGTCCTTTTAAAAAACAAATTAAGGTGTATTTATAAAATGAAGACATGTTGTGGCAATTCCATATGCACTGACAATTTATTAATGATTTATATCCCCTTGTGATATTTTCAGAACATCACTCAGTTTCAATTTGAGAAGGCTAGGAAGTGGGACGAAACATGATTTTATTTTACAGTCTGTTTTTTTTTAAACCATAAAATATAAAGAAAATATTTGGGGGGATTTGATCATCACATTCAATGAGTCAGGATTTTACTCTTTTTATGCATTCCTAATCATTGTCAAAAGAAAATCTAGAAAGATTTTATGAGGCTCTGGTTGGAACAACTAAAAACAAGAACTAAAACATCTTCATTGCAAGGGCATTTTAAAAATGATTTACTAATAATTCATTATCAATTATAGCTATGGTAATAAGCTGATGAGAGCTTTTAAGAGACTATATTTTGTAGTGAGAAATATACCCTAAAAATCTCTTACACATTTAAGAATTCTTATAAAGTATGTGGACTGGACATATGGGCTACTTGGAGAGGACGTTTGGCTAAAAATGCCCTTCTTTATCATAGTTCAGATCAGGTTATTACTTGATACAACAATACACAATAATTGGTAATAGGAGATTATGTGAGACAGCTTGTCCCTCCTCCCAAGATTAATTAAACATTAAATTACCTTTGTTTGTGACTGAGATACAATATCTGGAAGCCTTATAATTGTCCATCGGGGTCGTTGTTTGTGTATAAAAGACAATATTGAAGCATTCCAATCTAAATCCCGAATGTTCATTATGTTTAATTACAGAGGAGACAGTTTAACAGCTTG